TCTTGGTGTGCTGCTGTGCTGGGGTTGTGTTTGTGTGATTGTCAGAGAGTGTGTGTGTGAACTTCATGGATGTGTCTCCATTCCATGTGGCAGACTGTAGGTCTGTTTGGCTTGCTGGGCATGCATGTGTGTGTTCTGTGGGATGCTGTGTCGCATGTGACTATGTTTAAAGCCCCATGTTTTGTGTGTCCCTGTAAGAATTACAGTGTGTGGCCCTGAGAGAAGTAGGAAGGAGTCTGTGTGTGTCGTATGTGTGACACATGTGCGGCACCTGTGCACATGGGATCCATGTGTATGCTATGCATGTGATGCGTGTGTGTCGTGTGTGTGATATGTGGTGGTATATTGTATAGCATGTGCTGTGTATATGGTGCATGTGGCATGTGTGTTGTATGTGTGTGGTGGCTGTGTGGTATATGTATATGGCATGTGTATGCATATGTGCAGTGTGATATGTGGTTTGGTTGCTGGTTCCATGTATGTGCTATGCATGGTGTGTAGTGTGTGTGTGCTTGTGTGTATCTGTACACCCCGTGTACACAGTCACCCTTCCTTCACAGAGCCAGGCCAGAGCACTGGTTGACATGGGCAGGGATAGGAGTGGGCGTGACATCTGGAGTTGGGGTGCAAGTCCTGGCAGAAAAGCCCCCTAGGCCTCTGTCCCACCAGAGTAGCCATGGGGACCCCCTGGTGTCAGTGATAGGGTGGTCCCTGAACCTGGCTGTGTGTACCCATAGAAGCAGCCCTACCTTGGATGGACAGATATGTGCGAGACCATGCACATGGCATGGGGCAACAGGGAGGCTGCCGTGTGCACGGGATAGGATGGGATGGGTGAGGACCCTGGTTCATGTGTGCCAGGCAGGGGCTGCCAGCTGTAGCTCAGAGGTGTGTGGGGTACATACTGGTGGGTGTCACAAGTCTGCTGTGTGCACGGATGTGTCCTACACAGTCTAGCAGCATGGGGACATGTGTGTCCCTGGACTGTGTCTGAATATGTGGCCATGGGTGCAGTGAAGGTGTGTGTGTGTGTATGTGTGTGTGTGTGTGCGCGCACGCGCGTGCATGCATGAGCATGTAGGGGTGGCGTGGCAGTGGGAGAAGGGTCTTGGGCCACGTCTCTCTCTCCTCTTTAGACAGAGCCCTGGAGAAGATATGAAATTTAAAAAAAAAATCAATTTTCATTCCACTTGTGCAGATTGTGTTAAGGGGAGGTGGGATGGGGGGCTGGGTGAGGGATGAAGGGGCTGGGGGGGGGTGTGAGGCCTGAGGCAGCTCCCGAGGCGGCCAGCGCAGCTTAGAGAAATCAAAACAACTGGTTAAACCCCAGCCCAGAGGGCTGGGGTGGTGGGGTGAGGAAACAGAGGCAGAGAGCAGACAGGCCCAGAGACAGCCAGCCAGCCAGAGACATTGAGAGATGCAGGTAAGCAGAGAGATGAGCAGCACAGACCCTCAGTGAGAGACAGACCGATGGACAGAGAACTGACATTGAGAGGGGTGCTGAGAGAGACAGGACAGAAACAGCCTGAGACAAGCACGTGTTTCACATACACCCCCCCCCACACACACACACGCTTAAGAAGTCCACAGACAGACAGGTAGATGGAGAGATGGATAGCAGAGACCATACAGAGAGGGTAGCAAAAGCAGGGGCCCCTGGGCTGGGGTTACCTCGAGTATGCACCCAACCAAGCCTGGTGTCTGAGGGGTGCTGCAGGCTCCCTGTGGTGCTGGTTATAACTGTGGACCGTGTGTGTGTGTGTGTGTGTGTGTGTGTGTGTGTGTGTGTGTGTGTGTGTGTGATTGGGACCCTGTGTCTGTGTATGAGTGTGGGGCTGTGGGTGTGCTGCCTGGCCATGGCTGTCTGTGTTAGTGACAGGCAGGCCTCTGTGTCACCATGCGTGACCAAGTGCGTATGTGTTGGAAAGTGTCTGGTGCTAGTGTGCGTGCCTCTGTCTTTCCGGTTTGGCTGTGTGGCTGTGTGTTTGGGTGTGTCTGCATCTGTGTGATATTGTCCCCACATGCCATTGTGCTTCTCTGTGCTTGTAGGTGCGAGCCTTGGTGTCTGTTACGTGTCGTGTCTGTGTTGGTGTCTTTCTTTCTTTCTTTCTTTCTTTTTTTTTTTTTTTTTTTTTTTTGGTCTTGTTTTCCTTTTTACTGGTACCAGGGTTCGAACTCACGACTGCCTGCTTGCAAGGCAGGTGCTTATGCCGCTGAGCTAAATCCCCAGCCCCAGTGTTGGTGTCTCTCTGAGACATGTGATTGCGTGTCGTGTCTTTGTTTCAGTGTGGGGTTGAATTGGTGTGTGTTCTTTGTGTGTGTCTGTGAAAACCTGCGTGGTTCTGTGTCAGGGTTGCTGGCTGTAGTGATGAGTGTGATTGTGGATGTGACTGGCAGTGTTTGCTGATGTGTGAGCCTAACCCACTCATGTCGTGTGGCCTGTGGTAGTGTCTGACTTTTTTGCCCACGGGTGTGTGATGTGTGTTGTATGATGGTGACAGTGGTGTGACTGTGCTGACACATATGGATCTGTCAACGCATGTTGCCAGGTACATGGCGGCGCGTTAGTCTGTTGTGTGTGTGTGTGTGCCCAGGAAGGTGTGCAGGGCTGTGTGATTGTGCTTGGCAAGGAGGGAGGCAGCCTCTCTCTGCCCAGCCTTGCTCACACTGCTGCCTCACGCACACACATTCGGTGCCATGGCTGCGGGCGCTGGAGAGGGGGCGAGGGGGGGTGGAGGAAGCAAAATAAAATTAAAAATTAAAGCTTGCCCGGAGTCCCCATCTGCACCATGCACGGCCGGCGGGGAGGGGCGGTTGCGGCTGCTCCCCCTCAGCAGTCACCAGGGCTGGGGCTGTCTGTCCATCTGTCCAGCTGCCCTGACAGGCCCCTGCTTGGCCCTACCGCCCTGGGCCTCAAGCCCTGCTCCCTCCGTGGGTCGATCAAGGATCAATGGGGGTGGGGGGGGCGCCACGGGCAGGGCGAGATCAAAGGCACCCCAAGAGAGGGACACTGGGACTGAAACAGAGATGGAGAGACAGGACACTGGGTAGGAGCAGTGGAGACCCTGAAACAGAGACAGGGAGACTGCGAGGAGGCAGGGCTGAGGTGTGGAGGCCCAGAGACAGAGACCGCCTTGTGGGGATCCAGAGAGATGGGGGACAGACGGAGTGAGGTTCAGGCAGCGGACCCAGGCGGGGCTGAAGCAGTGGCTGGGAGAAGCGGCAGCGGGGCAGGTGGCAGGGAAAGGGACCTGGTGGGAGGGGCCGGGACCCAGGTCCCCGTGGGACCTGACACTGGGCAGAGGCCAGGCGCAGAGACAGAGGGGAGCCACAGCAGAGACTGAGAGACAGCAGAGATGCCTGTGAGAGACGCGGGGGGAGCGTGGGAGCAGGGCCCGGAGCGCCGATCCCACGGCTCCTCGTTATAACGTGTCCGGAGGAGGCGGCGGGGAGTTGAAAGCATTGGGAAGAGAAATCAAAACCAACACGGAAATGAGAGGGGCCAGTGGGGGGGTGGGAGCGGGAGGGGGGAGGAAGGAGGGGGACCCAGAGAGGCTGAAGGGGGGAGTGAGAGAGGTGGGGGGAGTAGGGAAGAGTGCAGGGAGAAGGGGAGACAGGAGAGATGGGGAGCCGGGAAAGTGGGGAGAGGGAGGCAGGGAGAGAGAGACAGAGATAGGGATGATGGAGGAGAGATAGAGACAGAGACAGGGAAGTCTCTCAGAGACTGAAAGATGGACCAACTGGGGAGAGGGAGAGGGAGACCAAAGAAGAGGGGGTCAGTCGGGATGGGAGGCAAACAGGAAGAGGGCCAAAGGGATGGGAAGAGACACCCCAAGTGAAGGAGGGATGGGCTGGAGGAGAGACCAAGTGAGAGACAGATGGAGAGGAGATGGGGAAGTCAGGGTTGGGGCTGAGAAGGGCACAGGTGAGGGCAGAGAGTTAGGGACCTGTTGGGTGTGTTGCAGGGAAGGGACACTGTCTGGTGTCTGAGGGGTGAGGGGGTTTGTGAGGGAACAGGCTGAGGAGAACAGAGGTTTGATCATACCAAGAGAGGATCTTTAGGGGGACAGAGTCTGAGGGCTGGGGCTGGATGCGGCTAAGGGGGTGCCTGCCCTGTCCAGGAGTGCAGAGGGAGTGGATAGTTACGGATGGTGGGGAGGAAGGTGGTCTGAGGGGAAGGTGCTAAGAAGAGAAGGGTGAGGGGATGGAGCATCTCAGAGACTTGAGGTATCTGGAGAGAAGTGTCGGAGGGGTGGGGTCTGGGGGAGAGACAGAGCCAGTGATCAGTCCTGGGGGACCAGAAGAAGCCGGTCTGGAGAAGGTCTGTGGGACTCACACAGGGGGGCCGGTACCCGTCCAGTCCTGTAGGGAAGGGAGAGCAGGGGCTGTGTCTGCCCTCCCAGCCAGGCCACCAGGTGCCCAGCTCTGCGGGCTCTAAGGAGAGTGGGTGAATTGGCCTGGGGGTCAGCAGGTGGGGGCCAGCTTCGGAGCAGATAAATCTGGGGCAGCCTGAGCAAGACACACACAGAGGGAGAGAGGGAGACCCAAAGACAGAAGGAGGGCCCAGCCCCCAGAGGTCAGGCAGAGATGGGACAGAGACAGCAGCAACGGCGGCGGGCGGCGCTGTAGCAAAGGGTGGGCGGGCAGCGAGAGCCAGCGAGTGCGAGCCAGAAGCGAGCAGCAGTGAGTGGTGAGCAGAGAGGAGCGAAGCTGGGAGCCGTGGGTAGCGATGGAGGCACCAGCGGGAGGGAGGCTGCGGGGATCGGGAGGAGAGGCTGGGACAGGAGCACGGGGACTGAGGCCAGGGACAGAGGAGGACAGGGGGCAGAGGGGAGACCTACAGGAAAAGGGAGGTGGGAGGAATTGGGGGGCAGAGAGAGCAGTGGGGCCAGGTGGGCAGGGTGGGGTTGGGAGGTGGGGTGCCCCGCAGTGCCGGCTGGCTGACCTGTGTCTGTCTCTCCCACTGTCCCCATCTCGGTGTGTCTGTCTGGCCTCTGCAGGGTCAGCTCCGCCATGGACTGTAGCTGCGTTTCGGACCTTCTCTTCGCCCCGCCTGCCCTGCCGGCTCTCTGGACCCCGGGTAACTGGCCCAGACCTGTCCTACCCTGTCCCTCAGACCTTCTTAGAGCCCATATCTCCTTCTCTCTACCTTGTTTCTGTGTGTCTTCTTGTCCACTTGTGAGTCTGCCTCCCTTGGTCTCCATCAGAGTCCCCTGAATAAAACCCCTTTCATGAAAAACTTGGTTAAAAACTTCGAGGCCACCTCTCCTGGCCACTTGCCTGCTGGGGCATGGGGGAGGGAGAGGGAGGCACGGAGGTCATAGAGGAATGAGGCTGTCTGGGCATCTCAGCCAGGAGCTCTCAGCACCTGCGGTGGAAAGCAGGATGGGGGCTGCAGGGACATTAGGCCAGGTACAATGGACAGGTGGACAGATGGACAGATAGCTCAGCCCAAGCAGCCTGGGGCCCAGGAGAGCCCACTTGCTCGGAAGTGGATGCTCAGGACTGGTGATGAGGGCAGGAGGGCTAGTTTAGATCACATCTGAGCCTAAGTCACGCTCCACACAGATGGCCGTGTGTGTGCGTACATGCGCGTGTTCGCATGCACACGCACGTGAGTGAGAGCTGAGGAGAGACCAAGACCACCTGGTTGTTTGGGGTCTCCTTGTGGAGTGTGTCATTGCATCACACTTCAGTGTTTTGAAAGTGGTCACAGTGGACAGGGGTCTTTGTGTGAGCCCGTGTGCTGTGTGTGCGTGCGTGCGTGTGTGTGTGTGTGGCTGAGGCTGCTTAAATGTCTCTGGGCTGGTGTCTGTTTTAGGGTCCCGCATGGGGCAAGGGGTGGTAGGTCTGTGAGCCCCTGCCTCAGCAGGCTGCAGAATTTTCACCTGTTTCTTGCCACGGGTAGTGTGCCAGGTGGCGTCTCAGTGGACTTCTTGGTACATTCTGGGCTGTGTGGTTGGATGTGCTCTTGGCCTCTCTGTTGCAGGGCTGTGTCCAGCTCTCCATCCACAGGGTGTGTGTGTCTCTGTGTGCTCATGTGCACATGCATGAGAGAAAGGGAGAGAGGAACTCAGTATCCGGGGCTGCCGTCCATGTGTGTCTGCTGGCTGCCTGTGCCCCTCTCTAGCTGTGTGTCTGTCTCGGTAACTACAGCACATTAAAGGACCTGTGTCCCAGGGCAGATGGTTTTTCTGGGTTGGTTTTGCATTATCGCCCTGAGACTGTGAATGACTCAGTGATATGCTTGCTTCCCTGGCTGGGAGGATGTGTCCTGGGGTGTGCAGTGGGCCAAAGCTGTCCTGCTTGAGCCCTGTCATCTGAGGTGATAAAGGCACAAAAAGGAGTTGAGGAGCTGGGGATTTAGCTCAGTGGCATAAGCGCCTGCCTTGCAAGCAGGCAGTCATGAGTTCAATCCCTGGTACGGATAAAAAGGAAAAAGACAGAAAAAAAACGAGTTGAGATAAACATCGCCCTTTTAGAGGAGCTGCCCAGCATTCTGGCAGGAGGGCACCAGACTTTTGCACAGGTCCAGGCAGCCTGGACAGGATTCTGTCCCTCCTTGCCTCCTCTCCACCATAAGTAGGCAGAGAGGGCAAGGACTTGCCTGGTGGCCTCATAGCGAGAGGATACAGGGACACAGGTTATCACAGCTCAGGGGTGCTCCTGCCCTGTTGTGGCCTCCCCAGCTGCCTCTTTCCTGCATGGCTCTCAACGTGGAAGGCCCTGGCCACGGCCGCATTTTGTGCTGATGCCTGAGCCTGGGGAAGCTTGGGGGAGGGAAACATGGCTTGGAAACTAGACTCGGGCCTAGGCCTTCTGGATGGGAAGTGAGATCTAATCGTGGGCAAGACCCCTCATTGGTACCCACCTTCTGGGGGGGATGTGGACAGTGGACACCCTTCCCTGTGTAATGGGGGTGCTGACACTGGGTGCCTGTGGGTATGAGCTTGGGTGGATGCTTTGCCGGAGTGTTGGTCAGATTGTGTACGTGCAGACCTCGATGAGTTGATGCTATATTCACCGTCTCTGTCACACTGGGTGTTCTTTGGATCGCCTGGGTGTGTCATCTGTCACACAGTCATGTTAGTTAGTCCCAGTTCTGGAAGGCTAGAGGAAATGTGTAATTGTGCCTGTCGTGGTGAGTGGGTGTGCCATGCTGGTTTGTTGGGGTGACTGACATTGTATCTTGGGCAGCCTGTGCCTGGCATACCTACCTGGTTGGCCCCATGGGGCACCGTGGCATTCCCGTGTCCCATGGTATGGCTGGGTATCTGATGGGTAAGGGGCTGTTTTTGTGACATGTTGTCTGTCACTGGCATCTGTGAGGGTGCATGAGCATGTGTGTTTGCACACACACAGGACACAGAACCCCATTCTGGACAGCTCAATGACCTGAGTATGGATAAGGAGAGGGCACCCAGGGACGTGGAAGGCACAGACACGCAGAGAGGTGCCTACGTGTGACTACACGGGCTCAACCTGGGTGGGGATTCAGTGAGTATAGACATGGAGAGGGGACAAGGACTTGGAAAGGAGGGCAACAGTAAGTTTCAGGGTGCAGGAGACATGAAAGACTGCCCATCTGGGGGCAGCTGAGGGAAGGGAAGGGAAGGCCTCAGATGAAGAGGAGCTGTCTTTCCTGCCAGTACCTCCTGTGTACACTCACTGGTGCAGGAAACTGGTCCTTCCTATTCTCCAGCTTGCTAGTGCTGAGCTTGGGTAGGCAGAGGGTCAAGTGGGAAGTAGTAACCCAAGGTCCTCTCCTGTTTGGGGAGTTTGGGGACTAGACAACAGCAGGGCATGTCTGGAGATGGCACCAGGCCGTTAAAGATGCTGCAGGCTAGCAGCTGCTCCTCAGAGCCCTGGAGCTAGGGGAGTGAGAGGGGATGCCACTTGGGTTGCTGAGCCTGGCATGACCCACAGCTGTCTGCCTGGCATTCTGACCCCAGGCCACTCCCCACCTCCTGTCCCCAGGGTTTGCCTTCCCGGATTGGGCCTACAAGCCGGAGTCGTCCCCTGGCTCGAGGCAGATCCAGCTGTGGCACTTTATCCTGGAGCTGCTGCAGAAGGAGGAGTACCAGGGCGTCATCGCCTGGCAGGGGGACTACGGGGAATTCGTCATCAAGGACCCCGATGAGGTGGCCCGGCTCTGGGGCATCCGCAAGTGCAAGCCCCACATGAATTACGACAAGCTGAGCCGGGCCCTGCGGTGAGGAAGGGCTGCAAGCCTGGACTCCCACCTTGCCCTCTTGCCCCTCACTGTCCCTTTGGTCTCCCCACCTGCTGGGAGCTTTCCCTCCACATCCTGGGGCCAAATCCTGTTGGATCCCAAAGCACAGGGCTCTGTACTGTAGCTACCGTAATTACTTTTGAGTGGAAGAGAGGAAAAAAATGAAAGGACCTGAGCCCTGGGTTTTGCAGCCAAGTGGGCTAGGATTCCGGCTCCTGTCTTACCCCTCCCGTGCCTTGTGGCCCTTGGTGAAGAGACCTCTGTAAGCCTCGGGTTCCCTAAATTGCTGGCATAGGGAATGTGCTATCTAGAAGCCTAGGGCTCTCCTCGCCCCACCCAGGACCCTGCAACCTGTCTCCCCACAGTTACTACTACAACAAGCGCATTCTCCACAAGACCAAAGGGAAGAGATTCACCTACAAGTTCAACTTCAGCAAAGTCGTGCTTGTCAATTACCCTCTGTTGGATGTGGCGGCCGCTGCCACTGGCTCTCCACTCTTGCTGACCCCTGGTCCCTTTGGGAGTGCCCCTGGCCCAGATGCTCCTCCCCTCACCCCCGAGGTGAGTTCAGATCCTTGGGTCCCAGAACTGGCAATGGGGCACCTCACTTCATCCCTCACTGCCCACCACGAAATGCCCAGGAGTGGGCAGTGTGAGCAGTGCTGCCTCCCCCACCCCTTCCAGACTCTGCAGACCCTGTTTGCCACCCCACGCCTTGGAGAGCCAGGGGCCCGGACGCCCCTGTTCACCCCTGAGACGGACAAACTGCGCCTGGACAGTCCCTTCCCATTCCTGGGCTCTGGTAAGGGCCTGAGGGTTTTGGGGGTAATGAGACTATCTGCATGTGTCTGAGGGATGAGAACCAGAAGACTGCAGGAGACAGGCTAGAGGAAGCAAGCCTGGGGCCAGGCTGTGTGTGTTCATGTTCGTGCACCTGCATTTAAAAGCCAGCCTCTGTGAGGAGGGGGAGGCAGGTACAGTGGCCAAGCTGGGAGGACAACAGGGACCCAAAAAGAGAAGGGAGCTGTGGGCAGGGAGCAGGGGAGACACCAGGGACTCCAGCAGGAAGGATAACAGAAGGGAATGGAACGAAGAGGAGCCAGCACCTTTAGCCCCTGCAAGCAGGCCCCCAGTAAAGGGGCTCAGCCTGACCAGCCCATGTCCCCTCCAACCCCAGGTGCCTCTGGCTATTCCAAGCCCCCAGGCCTGCTGGGTCCTTACAGCCGCGCCTTCCCGGAGTGCCCCTGGAACTTTAACCCATACTTCACAGGCCCCTTCCCCAAGCTGCCCCCTTCTCTCTACACCCCCCACTTCTACCCCAATCCTCTGGCCAATTCCCTGGGCCACTTGCCCTCTGCAGGGGCTGGAGGGGGCCCCACAGCTACACCCCTGCTGGCTGCAACCGGGGAAAGCCTGAGCCCTGAGCGCCCCTCAGGCCTGGCAGCAGCCCCTCGCCTGGCACTGCCAGGGGCTGGGGGTGCAGAGCCCACCCTGGGCGGGAAGGACGACAGCGACTCGGAGCTGGAGATCACCGACGTCAGCGCCTGCAGCTCCGACAGTGAGGGCGATGAGGGCCTCCCAGTGGCCCCCAAGGCCAAGGTGGGCAAAGGAGGTACTGGCAGCTGAGCCAATGTGGGGTGATGATTCCTGCCGAGGCGGGGACCAGGAGGGCCATCTTCGGCGCCTCACCCATTGTCTGCCCTCTGTGCCAGCCCAAGGGCTAAGCCCAGCCCTTGGCACCTGCCCAGGGCCTAGTGTCCTCCTTCCTCAGTCCAACTGGGGGGGGGGGGTGTTCCTCACCTTTCACTCCATGGAATGGGGAAGGTACTCAGTGATCTCCAGCCACCTTCCCAGGCTCCAGTTTGAGGGGTCCCTGCCTGGCCCCACTCCCAAAGTGCAATATGGAGCTCAGCCTCCCCTGCCTGCCCCTGTTGCTGTGACCTGTGTGTTTGTGTGGCTGTGTTTGACCCCTGTGACGGCCCTATCCTGGTACCCTCCTACACAGGCTCCACCTGGGGACAGGGAGCTCAGAGCAATAATCCCGCCCCCAGCCCCCACCCAGGAGGGGCCCCTCCCCACAGCCACTTCAAGAGTTTACTACAAAAATAAAAGAACAGAAAGTGAGATTGGGGTCCCCCAGTGTCTCAGATGACTAGGGCTTCAGGAGTGGGTTGGGGAAGAGGGGGGCTCCTCATATCCAGTATGTGTGTGTGGGAAGCTGCTGGGGAAGAACAGTTAAAACACAAGAATGAATGCACCAACAACTAAGAGACACAGAGCCCGTGTGGTCAGGCCCTGGAGGTCAACAGGAGGCGGCCACACACCCCAGTGAGCCCCACCCTGCCCTCACATGCACAGACCTCTGCTTAGATAATATATATTAAAAAATAAAGCTCCAATTCAGGGTATAAAAACAGCAAAGGCACTTGGGGAGGGGATGGAGGGGTGGCCTCCACAGGCAATACTGAGATGGCCAAGGAAGTGGGGGTCACAGTGGAACCCCCTGGAATGAAGCCCTGAGTCCCCCAGCAGAAGGCAGGAGGGAGCGAAGGTTGAGCACGGCTGGTAGAGGAGGCAGGGACCATGGCTGGGCCCCTTCTAGGTGTGGTCCCCCTGGCAGCCCGGCTCCCTCTCCTCAGGCCCTTGGGGTGTGAGATGCTGTCACAGCTGTGGGGACAGACAGTCCCCTCTCGTCTTCTCCCCTGTTCGTCTCTTCCTTTCGAAAGGCCTGTGGGGTACAGGAGAAGGGGAGACAGAGATGGAGAGACTGAATCAAGGAGAGGAGAAGAGGTTCAGAAGGTGAAAGGGCAGAGAAAGGACTGACAGAGGCACAGACGGAGTCCTGAGATGTAGGTGCCCACTCTGCCCCTTGGTCCAGGCTCCTCCACCTACTCACCTGCCTGGGCAGGTGCCTCATGTGCAGCCAGGCTGGGGGACGAGGTTCCCCCCCAGCTGAGCCAGGAGGGGCCGCAGGCGGCAGACTTCCTCCTCTAACTCCTAGTGGGGAGGGGGTCGTCAGTGAGGGAGGTCCTCCCTTCTCGCAGTGTGCCCAGGGCTCCCTCCCCCAGCCACACCTCCAGCTGCTTTATGGCCTCCTCCAGGCTGAGCAGGTTCTCCTGAATTTCCTGGGTCTGCGCAGGGCCCAAGGGGCCACCACCTGGCACCCCATCCCCGTCATGGGGAGGCCCCGCCCCGCTGTCTTCCTCCGTGGGCAACAGGAGCTGCTTCAGGGACAGCACTGGCCAGGGACAAGGGGAATGGAGTCATGAGAGGCAGGGGCTTCCGCTGGGGTCCAGGATGGACAGGGAGGGCAGAAGCCAAGGCCCTGGTGGGTGAGGAGGATGCAGGGCTGAGGCTGGGATGAGGCAGGAGGGTACTGCAGACAGAAAGGCTGACTTTAGGGTTGAGGGTGGCATTAGGGTTAAGGGAGGCAAGAAGAGGGGCTTGGGCCACCCAGGATGGTGGTACAGGCTGGGTGGGCTCGGTGCATCTGTTTGCTGATGGCTGGACATAGAGAGACTGGAAATAGCGTTTTTCTAGTTGGAGCACAAGCACTGTTTGGCCGGTGGCTGCCCTGGAAGGGGCAGGGCTGGGCTACCTTTCTGTAGGGCTGAAGCAGCGAGCTGGCCCTCAGGGCCTGGTCTGCAGAAGGGCTGGAGGTCGCTGAGTATTCTCTCAGTCTGGGCTGGGTGGGCAAACGGGGGTACTCAGATTGAACTGGGCATACTGTGGACACTTCCTCTCACTGTGATCCCCCACCCAGTGCCCTTCTGGTCTCACCATCAGCTGGAGGCACCTCTCGGCCACTGCTGCCATTCTCAGAGCTGCTGAGCAAGGGTTCTCGGGTGCTGAGGGGAGGAAATGCTCAGTGACCCCACGCCCCTGGCTTTAGGGGCAGCCAGGGCAGGGAGACAGAGCTGGAAGTGGGGTGGGATAGTCCGGAGACAGAGACAGAGGTGAAGGCCAGGACACAGGGAGACAGAGAGGCCTCAACAGTGGAGGGCAGAGAGGCCTGGAGATAGGAGACAGACAGCCGTGGTGGGGTTGGCATGTGCATGCGTGCACACACACACACACATGCAATGAGCTGGGGCTGGGGTCTGGGGTCTGGGGATACACAGGGAAGCCACCCCCATCATTCCAACACCCTCCCTGGTCCCCCTAACCTGCTTGGACTGGCTCGGGGCTTAGGGCGGAAGGCAGGGGCAGGGACTTTCAAGGATCCAGCAGTCTCAGTGATGAGGGTGCACCAGCTGGGGAGACAGGCCCAGGCCCAGGCCCAGGAGGGTCAGCACCTCCAGACCTGTGCAGGACCTCCCATACCCATACTGTCCCCGCAGACCCCTCTCACTTCTTCCGCTCCGACACCGTCTGTGCTACCAGCTCGTATATCTGGGCCTCCTGGTCCCAGGTAAAGATGACGTAAAAAGCTTTGTGATCTGTTGGAGGGGGTAGGGGGAAGTGGCTCAGGGCCAAGGCCTCCTAGGGTGTACCCCTTCCTGAGCAGAAGGAGGCTGGGATACCCCAGAAATGCCCCTACTGTCTGTCTGTCTCCCAGGCCCACATGCTCTTTCCACCCACCCCTCCCCATCCTGATCCCACCAGACAGCAAGGCCCCTGGCTGGCTGTACATATAGAAGCCCCTAGAAGCCCTACCACCGGGCATCTCCCGCTGTCCACAGCCCTGGTGCAAATTTTAGGTAGCATGTTTGCCAGTTCCTCCTGCCTGGGTTCCCAGCTTCCAGCCCTGCACCCTACAATTCCCAAGGGGTAGCCAAGTGTCTTGTCAAAATACCAATCAGGGTAGGCCACACCTCGGTGCCAACAAATCCAGGGGCAGTTTCTGCTTTCATACTCGCCCATCATATTCTGCTCACTTCTGCCTCCTCCTTGAGGGCGGAGGCACTCACTGACAGCCGCCCTGCCCTGGGCCAGGCCACTCCCGCTCTCACCAGTGGCCACCTCTCGGGTCATGGCGGAAGTGAGACGCAGCACGGGCCGCAGCATGGTCTTGCCATCGGGCGTGGGTGTGAGTGTCCGGCTGTGTGACTTGAGCAGCAGCCGCTCGTCTTGGCGCTGGAGCAGCAGCAGCAGGTCGTCCAGCAGCAGCACATGGACCTCTGGAGGGGCATGGCCAGAGAGTGCTCATACCTGAGACCCCACACCCTACTTGTTGACTCCATCCCTGTCACCAACCTGGTGCTCACCCACAGCCTTGTCCTTGGTCACCCGCCATGTCAGTGGGCCCTCATGGACCAACTTCTTCCTGGTGATGTCTAGGTTCTGGGGCAGGAGGGAGCAGTGGTCAGCCAAGAGGAGAGGAAGAGAAGGGAGAGAAGAGTGGGAGGCAGGGCGGTTTCAGGGCCCTGGGGATGACTTCTACCACTGGGCAAGGGAACGAAGTCAGGAGACACCTGGCTGGAAATAATGTAGGTGTGGAGGTTCCCTGGGTCCACTATCAGTGGGTCAGAATCCCCCAGAAAGTGAGCCCAGGGTGGCAGTGGGGACAGGAGGGAAAGGCTGGCAGGCCTACCTTGAATTCGCTCAGCATGGGGTCATTGCTCTGCCGTATGTGGGACAAGTCTAGGCGCCGCTGATAATCCCTGAGCCGCTGAGGCAGAGAGGGGAGTGTTAAGGGGATGAGCCAAGGTCAACTTCTGAGGGACAAGCTGGGGTCAGGCCTAGCTACCAGTGACCTTGAAGGGGAGGTGAGGACCAAGTGACAGCTGACACTTGGATACCCGGTGACCTCCAGGGGAGATGCTGAAGGCTGTGAGACCCTTGGATGCTGGTTGCCCTGGTCTGTGGATAAGATGAGGATGGGCCCCCACCTATCCCTGCCCTGGCCAGGGCCACGCTTGCTCACCAGCATGTCCTCCGAGTCACGCACAGCTTGGTTGACGTGTTGCAGGATCAGCCGGCAGCACTCGGCTGCCTTTTCCACTTTCTCTCGCTCAGTGGGCTCTTCTGCAGACAAGGGGGAGACCAGCTGCAGTGAACCCCAACCCTGAAAGCGCTTGCCCTTTGGCCACGGTTAAGGAAGTGTGGCTGACCCCAGAGGGATGGTGCAAGCTGTGGTACCTGTGTTCTGCCCGATGCTCTGCAGCAGCAAGGGATATTTGGTCAGCCGCTGCATCTCGGTGGGGATCATGTCCTTCAGCTGCAGGCGGCGGCACCTCGGGCGGCTCTCGGCCTCCTGAGGGGAAACCAGTGCAAGGGAGGGGACACTGGCCTCACCTCTGTGGGCCCTGGAAGTCAGCCCCCAGTCTGTCCCCAAGTCCCCCAGAGCCCAGCCCCAGGCCTCCGGCCCTGGGACCCTGGAGCCAAAGCCTGATCTCACCTGCACGAACGCACAGAAGCGAGGCTCCTTCCGCTGTTTGGCTTTGAGCTGCTCTAAGGCAAATGACTGGCGGCTGCAGAAGCGGGAGGAGATTTTCTGGAACCAGGAGCCCTCAGCACCATCAAACTACAGCAAGATTCAGGCCAGGGAACGTCTCAGATGGGACTGGAAAGGACAGAGTCTCAAGCAGGGATGGAAGCCTGAAGTAGGACAGCCCTCGACCCGGACCCTGGGACTTGAGTGGAAAGGTCTCAGGCTGGGGGAGTGGGCAGGGGCTGAGCGGGCCACCCTCACCCGGGCCAGCAGCACATCTCCAATCTCCTCAATAAGGTAGCCACTTTCCTGTCTCCGCTTCATCAGACGATCAAGGAATAGGGCTATGAGGGTCAGCAGGGAAAGGGGGTGTGCTGTTAGGGACTGGTGGGCTTTGGTGCCGCCAAGGTGGTGGGGGTCAGGCTGCAGGTGGCTGTCTCCAATCCTTGGGGCCAGAGAGCTTGTCTCCCAGCCCTCCTGTGCTTGGACAGTGGCCCACCTCCCTGAGGAGTGAGCTCTAGGGATGCACAATGGGTGGTCCCCCAGACGCTGCCTGTGGTAGACACTCAGGAGAACAGGCTGGACTCCGGTTCAAGGGCAGCCATAAAGCAGGGAGGGGCCATGGTCTGGCACTCACAGTGCACCTCAATGAGCTCATCCAAGCTGGGGAAGATGTTCTGCAGATCGTCCAGGAAGAAGAAACGTCCTTCTGCAATGGGCTGGTAGAAGAGGTCGTGCAGCACCCGCAGCATGCGCACATGTGCCGCCTCTGTCACCAGCAGCTCTGTTGGGGGCCCAAGGCAGGAAGCGTCACTGGGGAGGGTGCAAACTCATGATCTTCCTGCCTCAGCCTCCCAACTTCTAGGATCAGTCATCCACCAACATGAACAGTTTAGAAATGCAATTTGTATAAGCAGTTTCTGGCTTTTATTTTCCTTTCCGGCACTAAGGATAGAACCTAGGGTCTTGCACCTGCTAGGCAGTGTTGTGCTACACTCTTCTAGCCCCGTATCTGGCTCTAAACATCAGCACTATCTGTCCTGTTGCAAACAGTCTGGGAATGTCACTTTGACAGCTACATTCATGTTCCATCTTGTGGCTGTTCAACAATTTATGTAAGCACCTAACCTCCACTGGAAACAAGCTGCCCTCTGAAGCCCGCGAGAGAGCACTGCAAAGGTTCTCTCCAAGATCTGATTCTGTCTCTGCCAGAGTTGGGCACAGCTGGACACAGTGGGGGCATGGTATGGCACTCACCGCTGATGACCTCCTGCCGTTTCACCTGGCTCTTAGGCAGACTGAGCAGAGTGTCTGGAGGGACGAGCTCCCGCCAGCCAGGGGGCTCTTCTGGTTCCAGCTCCAGTCCTGACCGCCCTGGCTCCCCTTCATCTCCAGGCTCCGGACTGTGGACAGAAGCTTTGCTAGGACACCAGTTTGGGGTACTCCATAGAGGAGCACTTGACTCCTTAGTGTCAACTTCTGCCTGTGACCTTGACGTTTATCCCCCCAGGGTGGACCAGTCTTTAGATCTCTTGACAGAAGTTTCCCACCTCCTCCTCCTCCAAGGCCCATGACCACAGCTGGCCCTCAGTGACCTCAGTGTCTGCTACCTGCTTCTCTGACTCTGGCAACAACCCCCTCCCGACTTTCCAGGTTGCCTCAGTGAACGGGGCAGGGGGTGACGTACGTGGCTCGTCGGGCAGGGCCAAGCACGGCCGTGGCGGAGCTGGGGTCCATGTCCACGTCGCTCCGGGAGCGGCCCCCACCCCGGCCCTTAGCCCCGAGGCTGCCCCGGGAAGGCCGGCGGCGGTCACTCACCCGCAGGCTCTCTGAGCGCCCCAGACGCCCCGAAAGCCTGGACCCCGAGACCAGAGACAGAGACAAAGGCGAGGACAGAAACCATGTCAGGGACAGGGAGACAGGACAGGGACAAGGACAGGGAGACCAGGGCAGGGACAGGGAACCAGGACAAGGACAGGGAGAACAGGACAGGGACAGGCACAGGGATGGTGAAGACCAGGACAGGGAAAGGGGAGACCAGGACAGGACAGAGGAAGGCCAGGCCAGGACAGGACAGGACAGGAAAAGACAGGAAAGGGACAGGGACAGAGGAGACCAGCACAGGGACAGAAGAGACCAGGACAGAGACCAGGACAGGCACAGGGACAGTGACCAAGACCAAGATAAAACATGCAACAGAAGAGAGAGAAGAGTCAGGAGCAGTGGAATTTTTGGGGTGCTGGGCAGTGAGAGGGAGCAGGAAGGGTACTGAACTGGGTGGTGGTGGGGACCCGATGTGGCACACAGGATTGACCCCCTCCCTTCCCTGGGGCAGGGGGACAGGGGCAGGGGAGGGTATGAGGATTTTGATACTTAGCTCTTCAACTGGGAGGGTGATGTCCCCACCCACCCCTCGCAGGGGGTAAAAGGGAGGGGGCGGCCATGGGGAGGGAGGGGGCTGGGAGAAATGGGGGAGGGGCTAGCCCTCCCCCGACCCAGGGCCCAGGCACCCACCTCTTCCACTTTCTGGGGAGAGAGGGCACAGGGTCAGAGATGGGCCACAGGGAACCAATCCACCCCCACCCCACAGTGGGCTCCTAAAGCAGCTGCACGAGGACATGCAGGGGGCAGAGCCTGACCCCCAACTATGAGGGGGACAGGGCCCCCAGGGCACGGAGCAGAGGAAGAGGGGAAGGACATTAGTAGCAGGAGCCAGGCAAGCAGGCAGGGGCTTGGAGAAGGGGGTGAAGAGATGGCAAATGAGGTCAGGAGAGGCCACAGGAGTGAAGAACGGGGGAGAAGGGAGATGGAAGGGAAGGAAAACCAGCAGAGGCTGGGCGAAGGGGGGCCCTCGAGGGCACAGGGAAGAGAAGGGAGGAGAAACAGCAGCAAACAAGGAAGAACAGGAGAGAGGAGAGAAAAAAGGAGGAAAGGAAAAGGAGAGGAGCAAGGGAAGGAGGAGAAAGGACACACGAGCGAAAGAAGACCCCAGGAAAGCAGAAGGAAAGGGACCAGGCAGCACAGCCATGGCTTGGGGACAGGCAGTGCACAAGGGCGGCAGCGATCTCCATCTGCACCCCTCCCCAGTCCTGATGAGCTGCACCTGCCCCACCCGCCCCGCAGCACGCGGCCAGGCACCTCTCTGTCTCAGCACCCTCCTCTGTGCTCTCCGGGGGCACCAAAGATTCCAGGCTCATCGGGCCCTGAGGGGGCGGGTCCCCCAGTTCCAGAGGGGCATCCACACCTGCAGGGGTAAAAGGGGTGTGAGGCTGGCTGGAAGGCTCCTGGGATGCTGAGACCCACCCTCTGGGGGCCTCAGGGCCCCAGGTGTGGAATGGGGTGCTAAAGCATCCAGTGTCTGGCAGACACCATGCAATGGTTCCAATCAGGCTTCAAAGGGAAACCGACAGATGTTCAGATCACTGAGAATAGAGCTGGGGACAGCGGGGGCCAAGTGGATGGAAGTGCTCGGGAACTGGGGTATCCCCCACATATATCACCCGGGGCTGAAGCCCCCTGAGTGTGGAAGGGGAGGGAGGAGACAGAGCCTCTGTGCCCATTCATTCTCTGAAGGAAGGAAATCAGGGCTCAGACAGGGAGTGTGATTTCCAAAATTCAGAGTGGGAACCTGACCCAGGCCAGGGCGAGCAGCTGGATGGAGCCCAAGAGGCTGATAACCATGTAGCTCTGAAAAGTGTGACAAGCGACATCAGTGAGGCTGTGAGGCTCACCACCCACAGATGCAGCAATGTTCAGAAGGCTGACTCGCCACCACTCACAGAAGTTTGGGGAAACCAAACTTCTGATAGCTGATGGAAGTACAGTGCAGGGACAGGAGACCTGATACCAGGAGGGAAGTCAGAGCCCAGGAAGAAAGCTGTGATGGTTATTAATACCGGAGGCCTTGCCCTTGACAATGGTACTTCTGTCCTGGGCCTGGAAACTCACCAGGTTCCCGGTCTGAGCTATCCCCAGAAAGAGAGTTCAGAGACACTCCAGAGGTGTCCTGGCCAGGACCCCCTACATTCCGGTCCCGAGACGAGACCCCCAGGCCTCCTTTCCGGTCTATAGGGCCTGGTCTGTCAGCTGGGGAAGACAGCAAAGGAGAAGGAAGGGAAATTAGAGAGCAGTGACTCCAGTCTATAACCACAATGTGTGCTCCTGCCTCTCCTCCTCATCACAGGGGAACCCTCTTCCCTCAGACAAACGGGTCCAGGCTCAACCCCCTTCCCTCAGACCTGGGGGTCGCCCGGCTTCCTCCCTCAGACCCGGGGCTCCAGGCCTAGCCTCCTCCCACAAACCCGGGGCTCCAGGCCTAGCCTTCTGCCTCAGATCCAAGGGTCCAAGCCCGAGTTCCTCTTTTCTAAGATCCCAGGATGGATGACTACAGCTCCATTACCATCAACCTCACTTTTGAAGTGTCGAAAATCTGGAGCTGAAATGAGAGAGGGACAGTGAGGTGAGTGTAGTCTAGGAAGGGAAGGGTGGGGCAGAAGCCTGGGCCACCTTACCCTGGTTCTCTCCCCGGTTCCATCGGGCAGCATCTAGGATACTGCTCAGTCCTTTCTTGGTCTTGGGAGGCTCATCTGACCGCCGGTTCCCCATCACCTGCAGGAGGTGGGGGAGGGGACGGTAGCATTTCCAAGAGGCACAAAGCAGAACAGGACCACAAGTGTCCAGGCCCACAGTTCCCCCAGGGGGCGTCTGGAGAAGACAGGGCCAAGTTTGGTTAGCACCTTTTTCCGGAAGAAGTTCCTCCCTGATTTCTTATCCCCGCTTTTGGTCCGGACCCCAAGGTGGCGCATGTATAGGCTGATGGCGGTGACCACAGCAGCACTGCAGGGCGTAAACAGTGAGGGCTCCATCATACACATACGGGTACGCTTGCCTTTACCTCCCCATCCCGCAACCATTTCCTGAGGTTCTGGGGACGTTCCATAGGACAGGAGCAGGGAGTCCCAGGGAACCAACCACCTCTCCCCACCATGGTCTCTACCCCATCACCTCTTGTCTTCATCACTAGAGATGGTGTGTCTGTGGGGAGAAAGGAAAAATGTGTGTCAGAACTGTTAAGCCGGGGCTGGGGATTTAGCTCAGCGGCATAAATGCCTGCCTTGCAAGCACGTGGTCGTGAGTTCGATCCTTGGTACCGATTAAAAAAAAACCTGTTAAGCCACGGGCCACTGTCATCCTACACATACTCCACGTACTGTTCCTGGGGTAGGGAGGTAAGGGGAGGCAGGCAGGGGACTGCCACGCCTGGGAAGGCCCCTCACAGGAGGGAGAAGGCTGTCTCACCCTCATGGATGGGAAGCACAAGGAGGACCGAATGCCAAGCCCAAACACAGACCCATGGAGGAGACCCAGAAACTGCAAGGGAGCCCCCAAGTTGAAAGAGAAGACCCAGGGAAGGCGAAGAGCACAAATGCGAAGGAAGGCACCCTGACAGTGTAGGAGGGCACCGGCAAACTGGGGACGGAACCTGCCGGGTGGCACAGGGTAGGGTGCCCACTCGCTGACCACTCACTGCATCTCCTCCAGGTGGCTCAGCAGCCGTTCGGCCACGTGCCGTTCTCGGGCCTCATAGCTGGCTCTGTCACGCCCGACCCAGGCCTCTAGCTGGGACAGGTCCTGCTCCCAGAGTGTCATGCCCATGAGCCGCTTGGAGCGGAAGTCCTCCAGCTGCCGGCTCACAGCTGCTTGCTGGAACTGTACCACCTCCTGTGTGAACCGCCGCTGGAGGTCCTCAGAGATGAGATCAGGCCGTGTGCGGTCTGCAGGGACACACGTGATACTGGGGGCCAGTTCCCTGGGCCTGGCTCCAACCTGCTCAGACCCCAGGCCCCACCCACCTGTGGACTGTGACAGCCATGCTTCCTTGGGCTGCCGCTGTCCAGAGAGAATAAAGGAATAAATACTGGCTTCTAGCCAAGGGTTCCTGGGAGATGACCCCTGCCAAAGACCCTCTCTCACCCCGTGTCCTTACCGAGTTCAAAGGCAACGCTGGAAGGGACTGGTACCCGCAGAACCTGCTCAGGGAACAGACTAGAGTGAGAGGAGACCCTGGGAGTGATGGAGGTGCTACCCAGGAAACCTGGTGGGAGGGAGGGTCTGAGGGAGGATGCTGAGAAGGGCCCAGGTTGACAGCTGCCTCCACAGTTAGAGGTTGGAAGGTACATGGTGGTTCCCAGGGCCAACAAGGTGTTGGGGACAAGGGTGGCTTGAAGAGGTCTCTCACCGCAGTCTTGTCCAGGAAGCTGTGGTAGAAGTCAACAAAAGCCTTCTTGGCCTCCTTGGGGCCCAGGGAGCAGAGCATGTCCGCATGCAGGCAGCAAAGCTGAGCGACAGAGAATGTGGCTCTCCTCCCTCCCTGCCCCCAGACTACACCATGCCACCTCCTCTGAGCTCTTCCTGACCTCTACCCGCACCGTCCAGGCACAGTCTTGGATAACGTTGCAGTCTCTCCAGGGCCACCACTGTGAGCATTTCCTAATTCTCTGTCCTTCAATGTGGTTCTCTTTACTAATACTACTACCTGTATTGAGCAGTTGGTATATACAAGACATACCTTTATTAACCTGTTCAATCAAAGGGACCACCCTTATGCCCGTTTTACAGATGGAAAACTGAGCTCAGGATGACTATTCAAGGTCACACAGTTTTAAGTGGCACAGTGTGGAATCCAAAGGTCAGCAGCCTGTCTCTGTCTAGAAACATGACAAGGGACTCAAAAGTTTGTGAAAGTGGCTGTGAGGGGTAGGTTCTGATTCTTGTGTCACCAGATGGGATCTATAAATGGAGGGGCAGTGATGTTCTGAACAATGCAGATAGGGGACAGACTAATAATTTCTCAAATCTTTTTGCTTGGCCTCAGGACTATCAGCCTCTACAGGTCAATGCAGGTACCCTCCCTGCAATTTCTTTTGGCTCCTAGTTTTCTAGACAGATCTGGTATGAATTTCCTGCAGCACAATGCTCCAAATATCCTCTAATTCTCCCTAACTCTGGGCTGTACTAGGTCTGTGGGGGGACAAGGTCCTTTTCTGCTGACCCCCATTAGCCAGTCCTGTGGCTTCTCCTCCCCAAATAAGTCTTGTAGACTCTGTAGGTGTTTCTTATTGCATGGTCCTGCACACACAACTCCCAGGTACCCTCTGCCTGGTGCAGGAAGTTTCTGGGTTGATGATTACATCCGGCCTACCAGATGGGCTGCTTGTGGTGGTTTTGTTCTTTCTGAATCAAGACTTGGGTACCATCTAGGTCTGGGATCACTAACCGCTTCCTCCCAAGCGTCAGCCCTGAATGGCTGCTGCTGCTACCTGCCAAAAAGGCTATGCTTAGTCCCCCTCCAGGATCCAGGGGAAAGAGTACTGTCATTGATGCTGCTCTGGGCAGGAAGGGGACAGGACACAGGACACGGCCACACTGCTGGGTCTCCTGCTGCTGTTTGCATGGCCCTGGTCTGTGCGCTGTCCTGACCTGTGCTTGCTGTTTGCAAAACAGGGCACTCACACTATGTCTAGATCACAGTGTGCTTTCTCTCCTTTGTGCAGTTGTTTAGGTCTTGTGCTGTGTGTTCTGGAGGCGCCTCCCAGACCATCTCAGCCTGCCCTCATTGGTCTAGCCGTCTGAAAGCCTTGGCCTATCCCAGCTTCGACCCTCCCTAAGCATGCCCTCACCAGGGGTCCTGGCTCGAACTGCAGGGCCACATGATGCAGGAGGGCCATGAGGTGAGCTGGGCGCTGCTTCACCTGCTCCAAGCTCTGGAACTGGCTGTTCCGCTCCTCTGAGTGCTGGGTGTAGAAAGAGAAGCTGAGTGTCATGGGGACGGAGGGGGGCCTTGGGCTTCACCCTACTTGGTCCCTAGCAATCTTTCAAACAGTCCAAGCTGAGGAAGGCCCCATAAGTGGTGAGGCATCTATGCTGTCATGGTGGCAATAAGGGCAAGTGGTTGTGAAGAATGGGCGAGATGTGATGTTAACACAGTGGCAGAAGTCAGAAGAGAAGGAATGAAGATTCACACAGGGGACAATGACAAACTGGGGCCACAGGAAGAAGGGTGGGAGTCTATGCTGGATGGGGACACTGAGAATGGGGAGAAGAGGTCCTGCAATGGGAGGGACAGCACTGAGGCTAGGACAGCGTCCTTTGCACCCCATTTCCGCTCACCGTCTCCAGTTCATTCTCAAAATCTTCATCCTCAGCCCCGATGATGCTGACAGGCACCAAGCCAGGCCGGCGGAGCCCTATGGCCTACAGAAGGGGAGGATTCAGCCATGGGTAGCCCTAACGCTCAGGCCTGCAGTCCCCTCACCCTTGCTTGCTTGCTCTCTGCACTCACCGCCTGAGGGGCGACGTCTTCCATCTCCAGGGCTCTTCAGGGCTGGGGAGAGAGGCTGTGGTTAGGAGAAGCTAAGGGGCAAAGGGAGGAGGCGCAGCGAAGTGGTTACTCATAGATTCCTGGCCCAGGTGTGAAGGTGAGTAAACAGCCACCCCCTGTCCCAGCCTCTGCTGCTCAATGGGGCCTCTGTGCCGCACAAAGAGCCCTTCAGAGGCTAGTCAGGGGGCGGGGAGCCCAAGGACTGAAGCCTGGCAGGGAGTGTAGGCTGGAGGCCCAGAAGCCTGGGTCCTTGACAGGGCCGTGGGTGAGAACAGGCAATTTTGGTTCCCTGGAGGAGGAATGACCAAAGGGCTTGGCTTGGGGCTGGCCCCCAAAAGAACACGGCCTCCAGACGAGCTGAGTCAAAGGCAAGGTTAAAGGGTGGGTCAGAAAGAGAAGACCGGGCTGTGGGGGGCTCTCCTCTGATCTGTGACAGGGCTGGGCCAGGATGTTGCCTCTGAACCCACCAGCCCCACTTCCTGTGACAGGAAATCAAACAGCAAACCCCCAACCTTCAACTCTCTCCGTGAAAGAAAACAAAACACTGAACCACCTCTCAGGGACCCAAAGTCCCCAGCTCGGAGTTTCTTCTTTTCCCTCAGGTACCACCTACCTTTCCTGACTTCCGCTCCTCAAAACAAGGGGTCCTCAACAGCCGGCCCCCAAGATGTGCACATCTTCCTCCTTCCATCCTATCTTGTCGTGCCCGCTCCCCACGCTGTCCCCGTCTGGAGTCTGCAGCCTCTCCCTGGTTCCTCAGTTCTCTTCCCTTCCTCCCTCTTCTCTTTCTCCTCCTCCCGTCTGTGTATGTCCTTTCACTGCCCTCACTCCGGCTGCGTCTCATCTCTCTCCATCCCCCATCTCTGCTCTACCATGTCTGTCTCCTCTCCAGCCTCCACATCTTCCTCAGTCTGTGCAAGGACATCTGTGTCCCTGATTAGTCTGACTAATGCTACGAGAGCTGGGGCGTGGGAAGTTGTGGAAAGAGAAACAGGGTTGACCAGCAGGGGGTGGTTCCTTACACCCCAAAGCTATTTATATCTCTCACTGCCTGATCTACCCCTCGCCCTCTTCCACAGGACTCCTCCCTTAGCAGTCAATAAATGTAGCTATGACTTTTGAATATGATTACTAAACAATGATGCTTTCTGGAATGTCCAACGCCATCCCACAGTCATGATTTTTAATTCTTTTTCATAAATGTGTATGTCTCCCATCCAGGCTTGGGTAATTTCAAGTTTTTAAGTATTTGTTAAATGTTCACATAAATAAATTTGCAAACAAAAGCAGAAAAAAGTAGTAATTATTTATTATGAGGACTAAACTCACCCAGGGCTTACAGTGTGCTAGGCATTGCTCGAAGTGCTTGCCATGAATTAACTTAATTAACGTCCCACACCGCAAACACCCCCATGCTAGTGTAGTCTCATTCTCACAAGGGATGGAGATGCTGTCACGAGGCCAGCAGCCACAATCTCTAGACTGGAAAACACACCCATAGGCATGGAAGGCCCATGGATGGAGACACACTTGGGGTTAGAAAGGTTCAACTTGAGCCAGGGAGATCCTAAAGGAATGAAACAGAAGTTGGGAGTATATAGCTCAGTGTCAGAAAGCTTGTCCAGCAGGCATGAGGCCTGGGTTCAATCCCCAGCACTGCAAAATGAAACAAAACTCAACATTAAAAAAATGCCCAGTGCCAGGCCTTGAATCTTGTATTTGACAAGCATTATCCTTTTTTTCTTCCCCCTCAAAGTTCAGGGAAGGAACCCAGGGAAGACCCAGAGGGTCTTACACATGCTAGACTAGTGCTCCATCAATCAGCTACATCCACAGACCTTTTCAATTTTATTTTGAGGGAAGGTCTTGCTAGTTTCCCAGGCTGGCTTCAAACTTGCAATCCTCCTACTTCAGCCTCCCCAGCAGCTAGGCGTACAGGTGTGTGCCACTGTGCCCAGTTAAGCATTATCTCCTTACTCCTCATCACAATAATATGAAATAATAGCCAACACTTAAGGTGTATTTAGTATGTGTCAGATACACCATTATTGCTTTACAGGTGTTAATTCATTTAATTCTCTCAACAATGACTTCATTAGTGTAGTACTCTTCTGGTCTGTTTTATTTTTCTTATTTTCTTGGGTTCCTATTATTACCTTCATTCTACAGAGCTGGAAAACGAAGTACAGCTTAAGGGACAGAGCAGGATTCAGTCCCTGAGAGCCTACCTCTGTACTTTATGCATGTAACAGATCTGTGTTCCTTCACAGCTCGGGACTCACTCCCACCCCCATTCCATCCTTAAAAGACTAAAATCTAAATTAAATCTCTTAGATGTATCAGCTCTCCTTATCATGCCCAGGGAAATTAGGAGGCTGCTGTATCCTGGGCAAGAACACAGGTTGGACTTAGCTGTTCCACAGAGGCTTGGGGCTCAGAGAGGACTGGGAGTGAAGAGAGGGGGAGCATCTAGGATATCTGAGGTGATGGGTATGGGAGGTGATGAGTTTAGGGTATGGAAGGTGAGCGGGTCCTACAGAAGCTGTCTGGGCAGATGGATCTGCGGGCAGCCCATAAAGCCTGAGATCCAGCAGAGGGAGACTGTGAGGAATCTCTGAGGGGTCAGGACAGGTTTAAGGTCCGTGGAGTGGGGGTCCTGGAGCCAAGTGAATGGCACGTGGCTGTAGGTCTATAAGCTATTGAGCAGATGACCCAAGGTCTCCGAGAACCGCTGGGATCCATGAAGATCCTCAAATGGGTCCCTAGAATACATACAGTTCCAGATTCTATTTGACACACGATGAGGTCTAAAGAATATGGGAATCAAATGGATCATGATTCTAAAGAGAAAGTAGCCAGTCTATGGAGCCTAGAGACTAAAAGGGGGAGCTGGGTTCTATAGCGGTGTGTGGTGGGTCTCAAGATCTATAATTCTACAAAAGTGTGGGTTCAGTCTTTGGGCTGGGCCCCTACAGGCCATGGACTCTAGAACTATGAAATTTCCACGTTATAAGAAGCCAGGTCCCTATGGCGAGGCTAGCTAGAACCTGGAAGATTTGTGAGACCTTTTAACTTATGTGGGAAGTGACGGGTCTTCACGTACCCCCAATCTTCTATGAGACGTGGCGGGTCTACACCGGCCCCAAGTCCTACGGTGGAAGTGGCGCTGGACACAGCCGGGGGATGACTTGCAGAGTCAAGGTTTTACGTCCGCCCGGGGCCGCTTCCCTCACCTGCTCCGGTAGGAAGAGAAGCCACTGCAGCCTTCAGAACCGAAGCCTCCGCGCGCGGGCTCCAGGTTTCCCCACCCCCGCCGCCGAGTCGCTCTAGCTGCCTCACAGGGTAACTTTGCGCCTCGCTCCACTCCTCCCGCTCGCCGCTCTAGCAGGGCTGGTGCTAGGCTACTACCCCGGAGACTCTACTCCTCCCCCGGCCTCTCTAGCGCTCTATTCCGCCACGCTGGCCAGATGGAGCCGCTCTGGCCTGCATAGGAGGGCCGGCGTTTCCGCATCTCTACTGCCTGTGTCACTCTTCCGGGCCCCGCCCCCTCCCCGGCCGGCGGTGCGGAGGGCTCAATCTGAGATCTCCGAATTACTGCAACCCTGTATCTCCTGATCTTGCACTGAGCCTCGCCGCCCTGTCTGCCTCCCCAGCTCAGGGGCCAGCTGAATTTCCAAAGTTCGTACATCAGTTCCCTTGTCAGCCCTGTCAACTTCTTCCACTGGAGCCGGAGATCAATCTTGGGTTTGTGCATAGCTTTCCCTCTGACATGAAAGTAACTGCCAAACAAAAACCAAGCCAAACAGAAAGCAGTTACCTTTTCCCAGCCTGTCTTTCCAGCTCTCTTTTCTACACCTACTTTCCAGGGTATAAATAATGACCCAGAGAACAGTTTCCCAAAAACTTTTTCACCCGGGAGTAGCGCCTCATGCCTGTAATCCCAGCCCTTTGGAGGCTGAAGCAGGAGGATCGCCTTAAATTCGAGGCTAGCCTGGGTTATATACTGTTCAAGGCGAGACAAGTCACAAACAAACCAACACTTTCAGAAGCTCTCTGCAACTCAGCTTCCTAACGGCTCTGGGTGTTATTGTCTCTTTTTATGTCATAAAACTAGTAGTCATAAAACTAGAAGGTTGGAGGGCAGGGTTTAGAGGGAAGCACCTGTGAGTTCAAATCCCAACTGCACACTGTGTCAAGTGTGTCCAGTCCTCAGATAAATTCAGGCACCCTGGCCCTCAGTTTCTCCACCCGTACAATGGGTGTGAGCCTCCATCTTCCGTCAAATTTATCGAGACACTTGACCCTAGCCTCCCACCGTCGGTCTCCACCTACTAGGTACTTGGCAAATGTGAGTCACCTCTTTGCCCCTTAGATAAATGGGGACACTGAGGCCGCGCGGGGTCGGTCGCTGGCTGCCGGCCCCAGAAGGTCTAAGGGCGGCCGGCAGCGTCCCGGGTCCCTTCCTCCCTCCTCCTCCCCGCTTCCCCCGGCCACCGAGGGGAGGAGGCCGGGCGGGGCCAGGGGCCGCGTACCTGGTGTCGACGCGGGGAGGTGGCCGGCGGGGCGCCCGAGGTCGGGCTCGGCGATCCCGGCCCTGTGTCCCGGCTCCCGCTTCCTGGCTCGGCGGGGCAGGAAGTTGGGGCGTTTTTCCGGAGGCCCCCGCCTCGGCGCCCCTCCCCGCTTCCTGCCCGCTCCCCGCGCCCGCCCGGCACCTCCGCTTCCTTCCCCTTCTCGCCGCCCGCGGGCTCCTCCTTGCCCCTTGGGTACAGGCCCCGCCCCCCGTGTTTGTCCGTTCGTCCGTCCGTCCGTCCGTCCGTCCACGCGCCAGCCGCGGGCTTCCCGGCCCTAGACTCCCAGCCCGGCGGTATCGCCTGGCGAGACCCGCCGTGCGCCCGCTGCGCGCCGCCGCCGCCCGGCTGCCCAACCCGTGTGCCCTCGCGCTTCCTTCTCCCTCGCTCCTCTCACGCCCTTCCTCGGGTGGGGCCTCCCTGGCCTCTGCCGCTCTTCCTCCTCGGTCCCTTTCTGCCTTGGAGCCTTTTTACGTCCTCATCTTTCTGCATCCCGACCTGGAGATGGGCCTCTAACCCGACTGTCGCTTTCCCGCGGTCAGTCTCTGCAGACCCTTCTTTCCTTCCCCGTCTCTGTCTGCCTAGTGCTGCTCTCCAGTGCCCCGGGTCTCCTGACCCTCTCTCCTTTCATTCGCTTTCTCTCCGGCACACTCTCAGGATCGCTGCGCTCTCCCTAGGCCAGTGACTTGTAGCTATGCCACCCTGTAGCGATCTCTGCACCGTCCCCAAGTTAGAGCCACAGACCCCGAGTCCATCTCTGAAAGTCTACCCGTAGGGGAATTCAGTACCCGCTCACAAGATAGTCCTGTTTCCAGAGCTTAATACATGTAAAAGTTTTGGTAATGCCAAGCCTCATAGGGCATGTCTGTAATTACAGCATTTGGAAGGCTGAGGCAGGAAGATCTCTGGGAGTTCAACAGAATGAGGCTAAACAGTTCTGTGCCAACCTGAACTACATAGCAAAACTCTGTCACAAAAAAAACCCCTTTGTTTAGGGAAATGGTGTGGGTGGGCCAGTGGAGGGGAACCCTTTTACTGGAGTGGGGACTTACCCAAGGGGCTTCCTGTTTTGGGGGGGGAATGGAGGAGACTAAGACTGGCTTCTTGATTCCAGGTGTGGGAGTGGATGGGGATGGCTTGGGCACAGAATACTGGGTCTGAAGGAGGAGGAGAAGGAGGAAGAGGAGAAGGAGGTTGAGGCTAAACTCCCTGGGTTTCAGGGAAGGAGGGCGACTCATCCTCATGAGATCCATGACTCCCGTCAAGCTCTGCAGTTGGGGAGGATTTATTATCACTAAGTGGCCGTGACAGATCTGGGAGGAGGGGGTGACACTAAGAGGCTGCTGCAATCAGCTCCCCTAGAGGCAGCGATTAAGGGCTCATTACCCACTGGGGAGGGAGCCTGGGAAAGATAGCAGGGGGAGAACTGGTTTAGGTGGGGATAGGGATCCTCCAGGGGAAGCTCCCTGGGAGGAGGACAGGGATGTTCCAGAGGAGTGAGGAGAGACACTGGAGCGGGGTGCACAGCAGGCAGGGCATCCTGATGTGGGAGCCTGGTGGTCATGGCTTCTCCAGCTGGACATCTCCAATGTGGAGGCTGCCCACATCTTGGTAGGTGCCCTGGAGGCCCCGGGAGATGTCTTCGTACATGGAGCAGTCATCGAGGTTCAGGCCCTGGGGGGACACAGGACAGTGCACTGATGTACCACAAATCCTAGGATCCCTGGCCCTCCTGCCACCACCCCAAGGTGGGGGTATTCAAAGTGTACCTGCTCCCCTGCCCATTTCCAAACCTCTGCTCACCTCATAAAGATTTTCATCTTCATAATCATCCCGAGGGTCCACCCCAAACTTCTCATTCTGCCAGCGCTTCTGTGGGGGTTGAGGAGGGGAAACAAATAGCTTTTCAGATTCTCTGGATGCCTCTAGGAGGTGTTTTTCCAGGAGGGTAGGGGACAGGCCACATATCCAGTAAGAGGCAGGTCTCTCTGTGTCCAGACCTACTGTCATTTCAGCTGTCTGCACTGCTGCCTTATTCTCCATGAGAGACAGCAGTAATGGTAAATAATAATAGTTGCCCCGTGGCCTAAGGAGCAGCAGGAGCAGATGACTCTGGCAGGACCCCTAGCCTCTTTCTTCCTCTGTCTCTGCTGCATCTTTGGGGACAGGGCTCCAGGGTGCTGGCAGGGTGACAGCAGGGATGCCAGGAAGAGGAATCAGGAAGGACAGCCCTTGGGCCAGCACCATTTAAACCCTTTCATTGCATTGGCTCATTTAACTCCCACAGTCCCTGAGAAGTGCACACATTCTGGTTCCCAAGTTTTGGATGGGGAACTATTGAGAACTGCAGCCCAGGTCCTTGCCACCTGACTCTGGGGCCCTTGGGGCCTCACCCTGAACAGCAGCAGCGTCCCAGGTACCACTGCGCAGAACAGCAGGATGATGCCCTCGGCTGTGATGATGCGGTTCTTGGTCCCCTCTCCCATGTCCAGGAAAGGTCTGGGGGGTGGCTCTGTGAGGAGCGTGGGGACTGCTCAGAACTCTGCACCTCCTGCCCTCCCAAGGTCCCCACCCCACCTCGGAAGGTGCCCTCCTGCAGTAGCTGGTCATTGCAGGCACATGAGGAAAACAAGCAATAGAAGAGGAAAGGCTGTCCCGGCTGGAGCAGGGGAGCTGGGACCTGGTTCTGAGCCACTCACCACGCACTCGAAGGTAGGTGCCACAGGAGTGCAGTGATGTCCCCTTTTCTTCCACTCGACAGCGGTATATGCCCCCGTGACTCTTGTTCACATTGGAGATAATCCACTCGCCCTCAGAGCCATTGGTGTGACCCAGGAACTTGGGGTGCCATGTGTAGTTCCCCTGGAGGATGTGCCACCAAGTGACTTTGGAGTTGTTGCCATTGTTCCGGCACTGGAGGCGGGCCTCATCCCCAGGGCTCACTGTCACTGATGTTGGGCCATTTTCCACCCACAGGGTGGCCTGGCACCCAGGTCCTGTTGAGAAGTAGCCAGTGGGTCAGGGACTGATGGCACCACTGTCCTCAGCCCTGGCTCCTGCTGCAGCTGCAGTGTTCCAGAGAGTGGCCAGGAAGTAACATCACTCCTTGTGTGTCGGGTGTGTCAACAGTCAGGAGAAACAGTATGGTGAGGTGAGTCCCTCTAAACCCCTGGCCTCTTCTGCATGTCCACTTTGTGCTGTGGACTCTTGGCGTTTGGTATCAGCGATTGAACTCATGGTCTCATAATTACCAGGCAAGCACTTTAGCCCCTGAGCTAAATCCCTGGCAGGACCTTGGTGTTTGGATGTCTGGTTTCCTGGCACTGAAGTGCTCCTGTCCAGAGAGCTCCTCCTGAGTCAGGCCAGGCAGCTGCCCTCCTGAGGTCACTGGGGTCCCTGAACTTCAGGTCAACCCTGCACAGGGTACTTTACCTTGTGTAACCATCACAAAACCCTGAGAATGAGGATCCTTTGTACAGCAAGGTGGCTGAGGCCCTGGGAGGGGAGTGGCCCTAGGGAAGGAACCCCCAGCTCCACTGGCCTGTCCCTTCGTGGGGACCAGCAGAGCAGTCTACAGTTGGGCCTACTTTCAGGCGGAGGCCAAACTCATTCTCTGTGTGAGCCGGAGGCAACTCTCATTCTCTGTGACTTTCCCCAGGCAGCCGGGGTCAGAGGTGGCTTTAGTCCTTGGGCTGGCCTCAGGGTAAGTTAGGAGGGGCATGGCTGGGAGGAGACAGGGTGTTCCTGAGGGAGACAGCAGTTGTCTGGTGCCAGTGCCCTGCGCTTGGGGCTTCTCTGGGAAGCCTCAGCATTCAGCTTCCTCAGGCCAGTCCACATGGCTGGCTCTGGTCTTCCGGAGAGAAGAGGAGACAGAGAGGTCAGGAAGTGAGGAGGAAGAGGTAGAGAGTGAGGCTGAGTAACCTCATGGTCACAGGCTTAAGACTCAGACAGACACAGGCTCTGATCCCCGCTTCTGGTGTCACTTGGGTGAGTGACCTTCCTCTCTGAACTTCAGTGCAGCCAAGGTCCCTGTCAGCTGGCCTAGAGTGGGGGAAGGGACAGGCCAGCCAGAAGGAAGGGGTGAACAGGCACACCCTGGCCCTCATACAGAAAGGGGCTTATGCAAGGGGCCACTGAGATTTAAGGCAGAGAAGGGGACAGCTTTTTCTCTTCTCTGATGCTCGGGGCCACTCCAAGTCCCCTTCCTGCCCCCAGCCCAGGTGTTCAGGCGAGAATCACTTTAGTTCCTTGTTTTGACTTCTGTGGACAAAGGTTGGGTGGGGGAAGGGACTCTCAAGCCCGCCTCTCTCCGTGGTGCTGTGGACATCCCGTTAGCTTTGCCAAGCCTCCTCCAGCTTTCTCTTGGCACAGTTTGGGACGAACTGGATCGTACAAGCCCCAAATCCTCAAATCGATGCATCTACTTGCTTTCCACACGGGCCTTTCCTTCCCCACCTTTCCCTGCTTCTGACTCTGCTTCTGGCAGAACCCTTCCCCTGCCTACGCCCTCCCTCCAGCCTCCTCGGACCCCAGTCCCTGCCCTTTGGCCACATACCCAAGCAGGCTGCAGACAGCAAGAAGAGGAGGATGGTGGCCGGTAGAGCTTGGAAATTTCCTGTACCCTCAGGCATCTTCTGTCAGGAGGTTGATTAATCTGGGTTGTAGCAGTCCTGGGGTATGAGATTCCACCCCAAACCCCACCCCACTTCCTGCCCAGCCCTGCCCGGAGATGGGCTCCAGTGGCCCTCACTGCTGGGCCCTTTGGGCAGCCCCTCCAGAACGCTTCAGGCTAGTCTGAGGGGAACTGCTCCTGCACCTGTGGCAGCCACAATTCCCCTGAGGCACAGCTGCATGAGTGAGGGGGGTGAGGCTAATTCAAGCCCCACCCCCACCCCACCTCAAGTCTTGGGAAAGAAGCCTGTTCCGGGTGTGGGTGCCTGCTGCGGGCAGGGTTGTACAGTTGGTCCTGAGATTGGATTGTGCCCCTCCTAGACCTTAGGTGAAACTTATCCCCTCGGAATCTCTGTTCTTAGCTCTTTTGTGGGTGGGGCGGAACCTAGTGGGGTGGCCTTAGTGGGCACAGTGTGGAACACAGGCCCAGAGCTCAGGAGGAGTAAACAGTGCATGCAGGCCCTCTGGGGACTACTTGTATCACTGGGCAGTCAGTGCTCTCCTCTGAGCCCTATTTATTTTTTGGCGGCCCTGAGCAATCAAACTCAGGACCTCAAGTATGCTATGCTATGAGTTCAATACCGGGTATTGAACTCACAACCGCCTGCTTGCAAGGCAGGCGTTTATGCCGCTGAGCTAAATCCCCAGCCCCCCAAGGCTACTTCTTAAAACTGGTTTCTGTCACAGTCTTGAATACTGTTTTGCATTCCTAAAATATTTAGTAATTTAAAAATGGTATAACTGTCACCCACTTGAAAAAAAGCATAAACCAGTGGTGGTGAACCTGATAGCACATGTACCCTAGCAAGCTAGCTGTACCATCAAAAGTTCTCATAAAAAGTGTGCCATTATTGGCATAGGCCTTAAGAATCTGAGATTCAAGGTAGACATGGAGACATAATGACTGATTGGCTTTCCAGCAAAACACGACTACCTCCAGCACCCTGAGAAGCTGAAGCAGGAGGACCTCAAGTTTGAGTTCACAGAGAAATTTAGTGAGACCTTGTTTCAAAAATGGGCTGGAGACTGGTCTAGTTCTCAGCACTGCACATAAACACACATGCCCAATGTTTCCTTAAGCTTGTATCTCCGCTCTGCCAACTGAGTGGCTATTTCTTCCCCTGTAACATGGATATAATCAACTCTTGAGGCTGTACTAGCATTACAAAGTGCATTAACACACTTCTAGATAGAGTTAATTTTCCTTTGATGCTTGGGACCTCCTGCTTCCTCAAGAGACTCAGGTGCTCAGTTGGCCTCCTGATGTGTCTGTTTCTCCCTAGGAGACCCTCCCAGAAGCATGGGTCCCAAGCTGGAAGCTCTAGTCCAGCCCTGTTAGCTGGTAAACCATTTTTCAGCCCTTGACTGCAAACCGCCCCCCCCCCCAATGGCAGGAGGGGTGAAGGTGCAACCCCAAGGCCAGGCAGTCTGTTTGGGTACCAGTCACTTAGCTAGCACTCAGTGCCCTGTGCTCTATATAAACTGAGCTCTGTCAGCTCTAAACAATGTTCTTCTTTCTCACTGGGCAAAAGGAGAGCTGGATGTGGTGGCACTTGTGATCTCAGCACTCAGGAAGGCTGAGGCAGGATGGTCAGCCTACACAGCCATGGCCTCAAAACAAAAAAAGCTCCTACAATAGTGATGACTGCCCCAAGGCCACGCCCAGCAGAGTTCTCATTGCCTCGTACCAGGATGGCTGATTGGCTTTTCAGCAAAACATGACTACCTCCCACCAACATACTTCACAAGGTTGCTGGGAATATTTCTTCCAACACCTGGCAGTGCCAGCATGCAGCAAGTTCTAGTGTCTTAGACATTCTCTATCTACTACAGGACCCACCCACCCTGCTATTTCCCATTTCTAACACCTTGCTTTTTAAAGGTGGCCGTTCCTCTGGTGTGCTACCCAGAACCAAAGCTCTACACAGCATCTTGCTGAATCTTGCAGTGGAACAGCTAAGGCTCAGAGGACAAGTTAGGTGCACAAAGTCACAGGTAGGACTTTCTTACTACTGAACCACTTCCTTAGCCCAGAGCTAGAACCCGAGCCCAAGTTCAGGCTTTGCACTGGAAGGAATTGGGTCTTATTTGAAAAACAGCTTGAATAGGGGTGGAACGTCAGCACCTTGGCTGAGCCACTTCAGGCTCAGGTTCTCAGTTTTCCCAGCTCAGAGGTGGGCTTGATTACACTGGTAGTCTCCTCCAGGTTCCAGGGACCAATCACTGAGCAGGACTAGTATGCAAGAGGCCACAAGGTCAAGCTCAACCCTGGCAGCCCTGTTCCAGTATAAACTTTGGGGAGGTATGTGTGGAGATGGCACAAGGGGCCTCTGGGTCCTGCCTCACCAACTCTCCTGAGATCCTGTCCTTTTTACAGAAGGGAAGGAGGACATGCTCCAGTCTCCTCCGCCCAAAGAACAGCCGATGAAAAGAGAGCCACACCATGATTACGAATGAGGCCATTTATTAACCCAGCATCCTTTGTTTTAATGCTTCTTGTTGGCAGCTGCCACCTGTGGGAAAGATGGGGAAATAAGATCAGCAGAGTTTCTGCTGGGGTACACTATGTATAATTAGCTACTCACCATCCCAGGATGCCCAATGCGGTCATCTCACTTAACCTCACAACCATGGGCATTTCCCCAGGTTACAGACCTGTAAACTGGGCTCCAGGAAATGAAACAGAATCCTATGAGGAGAACCTTTAGCACTGACAATTTGTGCCAAGTTCTGCACAGCACCCAATTATTAACAGGGACATTCTTTTTTGGAGGCGAGGTCTAACTACGTAGTCCAGATGGCCTTAATCCTCTTGCCTCAGCCCCCCAGAATGCTAAGATTACAGACATGTACCTTCATGAACATGCCAAGGCCCCTAGGAGGCCCTGCTGCATTGCGGCCTGTGGAATCCACACCACCACTCGAGGGAGGTAGGGGTAGACCACATGTTACACAGGGAGACTGCAGAGCTGGGGTGACAGTGTAGGTCAGTCAGGGTCGGGGCTCATCTCAGCTTTTCCTGTGTTGCCCTGCCTGGTACCCAGCAAGAACAAGAAATCCTGCAGTCAGAACCCTAAAGCTGACCAGGGAGGGGACCAAGTGTGGGGGTACTGGGCCTGGGTTTCCTCTACACCAGCACCCAAACTTCCAAGCTACTCCAGCAGGGAATATTCCCTTCCCTGCCTTAGGAAGCCTTGCCCAGAGGGGACCAAGTGTGGGGGTACTGGGCCTGGGTTTCCTCTACACCAGCACCCAAACTTCCAAGCGACTCCAGCAGGGAATATTCCCTTCCCTGCCTTAGGAAGCCTTGCCCAGAGGTTAACATCTATATGACAAAGGACTCTATAGAGAAACGCCTACAGTGACCAAGGGATCTGGCTCAGGCCTGCATGGATGTCTCACCTGTCCAGCGATTCTGTCCAGATCTCTCTGTCCCTGAGGTGTCAGCTTGCGACCCCTGTAGAAGGGAAGAGTTATGCAGTGCCGGTGAGACCAGATGTTGCAAGACTCCTGTAGCTCCTGGCCATGGGACCACATGACATCAGCCACAAACAAGTCACATTGGGGCTCCAGTCTGCTACATTCTAATAAGCTGGGGGAAGGAGCAGGAGTGTCCTCCTGGGAACTGACAGGGTGTCAGTTGTGCAAGCATTAGATCAAAAGCCCCGAAAAAAAATCAATTGGGAAAAGTTAACGAGCAGGCTAATGAAAGCGGACAGTCGCTAAATTACCTTCCCTGAGCCTGAGGAAGTCAGCCAGAGAGGTCGGGTTGAGGCTTTCACTGTTTGTGTTTCTGCTGAACCCCCTGCCTGCCTGAGGCCCAGGGGCAGGCGCAGGGCATTTGGCAACCAAATCCATCCTCGGGTGCAGCACCTGACAACTCCATTCTAGCTCATCTGTGGGCGTGACCTGGCTCTCAGCCTCCTCACTGCTTACCCATCTTGGTCCTTTTCCACCATTTTTAGCCCCTCCAGGGCTTGGAGGACTCGGCGTGCCACACTCTTGGAGCCTCTGCTGAAGTGGCTGGGCATGACACCATTCCTTTGACGTCCACCATAGATCTTGGTCATGGAGCCAACCCCAGCACCACCCCGGAGGTACAGGTGCCGTGCTGTGGAAGCTGGAGGTGGGGGTGAGAGGGAGTTTGAGGATGCTTCTCAGAGAAGTCTCCTCCCCATACTGAGTGCCCCAGCCCCGTTCAAGGTACATACATAATGTGTATGTACATACATACATACCAAGGCACTAATTCTCACCATTTCATAGGGAAGGGAATGAAAAACACCAGGACCCAACACTGACAGCCTCGTTTTTGACTCCAGGTCTTCTGTAGCTAAGTGGTCTACCACTCTGGCAGGACACTCCCTCTCCAGGCCCAATGTCCTCAGCTTTTACTTGATAACCTCATTGCTATTTTACTGGTTAACAGCTAGATGGAGCTGAGCAAACAGGAAATGCAAGGGATGGGCATGGTGGTACACCCCTTGTAATCCTGGCACTTGGGGAGGCTGGGGCAGAAGGATCACCGAGTCTGAAGCCAGCTCAGACTACACGGAAAAACTGCTACCATTTTCACCTCTGTGGGCCAAGACTCAGAGGAGAGGAGAAAGAAACTGCTTCTGAGGGCAGCTCCATGGCTGTGCCAGTAGGGTAGAGCTCAGCAAAATGATCAAGGCAGATACTATTGGTGAATGCACCCCACCTGAAATGTGCACTGCTCTCTCCATGGACTTGGGGGGGTCTCTTATCCCTGACTGGCTTACACAAGTTCTTTCCAGTCTCCCCTAGGAAACAGTGCCCTTACTAGACATAGACAGCAAGCTCCAGTGAAAGCCAACTGAGTTACCAGCCCTCTCAAAAGTGCTACCAAGTGGGAGGCTGGCCACCAAACCTGATTCCAAGGTGCAGGAGGAAGCCCCCAGAATCGGGTAAGTAAAGATACAATGGCCCCATTATCTCCTAGCCGCAGAGGGGCTGCCTGTTGTGGCACTGAAGCCTGAAAGAATCGGTGCTCAAGATGTGGGTAGTACCCAAACTTCAACCACTGCAAAGCTGTGTAGAACACAAGGGCAGGGATTCTGCTTTATCTCAGGGTTCAGCAATCAGCCAGTGATCATAGTTTGGCCAAATG